ATTATTATTATTATTATTATTATTATTACGCAAATCACAGTTAAAGACTATGAAAACGGGGGCTTGAAAGCTTTAGACTTTGAATCCATTATTGCTGCGTTCAGGCTCAGATGGATGAACGACTGCATTTCCCTCAATCTATGTGGTGCCATAATCCAAACAAACTCTTTAATAAGCTCGGGGGTTAGATTTTATGCTCAGATGTGATTTTGAAATATCTGAGATTCCTCTTAAGTTGTCTAGTTTCTATAAGCAAGCATTTGAATGTTGGGAAACTAATTTTCACCCACAATTCTGTGTTGTGGAATAACAGGGTCATAGTTATCAATAAGAGTCCTTATTTAAATCAGACTGGTATGATAGCGGTGTTTTGTTTTTGATCTGCTTGATAAAAAGGGAAACTTGCTATCTTATGAAGAATTTATTGATAAACATAAAATAAACGTTTCACTTAATAATTATAATAAGGTTTGTAAAGCACTACCCACACCATCGTAAACACTTTAAAGCATTCACTAATAAGAACAAGCTTACATTCACTGACGATAATACCTCCTAGGAGGAATAAGATTAATAAGTTAATCTCTAATAGCTGTAAGCAAACAGTATTCTGTAACTATGTCAATGTCAGCTCCAGGTTTTGTGCACAGTGAAATGTGAGAACTTTGATTGGGTGTTACTTAATGAGAAGGTACCTGTGTCTGTGTGATGCTGACATCAGCTGATATCCTCTTAAATATGGTCACTTCTGGACACAGAAAGCAACATGGTGGCAGCAAGAGGCTCCACAACTGTGCTACAGCCATCTTTTATATACAGTCTGTCCATTTTATTAGTTTCTGTTACTAATCAAATCAAATCATGTGAGCTCAGTCTGCGTTGAAGCTGACTTTATTTATTTTTTGGCTTTATTCCATAGATACAGTCAGGACTGACAGGAAGCAGAGAGAGAGGAAGACATGCAGCAGTTCTCTTTAACCAATGGAAGAGCAGGAGATGACGGCGTGGGCGGGAGCAGCGATGTAAACATGTTAGCCGCTGATTAGCTCCACTGTGGTGACGCTAGTTAACCCTTCACCGCTTTAGCCCGTCCTCCCGAACCTTGGACCCCCGGATCTGCGCTTTAATGGCCGGCGTCGCCCTGAGGTGCTCCGCTGTCTGGCGCCGTGTCACATTAACAAGGTATGACCGGGGAGCCCCGCGGGGTGTTTGAGGCGGAATCACAAGTGCTTAGATGCTAACTGTAGTTAGAAAAGTCTGTAGGAAGCTAACAGTTAGCATGGCTGTTAGCACTGAGTGTCGGGGGGGTCTGTGGTTACCTGACCGCTAACGACACCTGTCAGACTCAGGTGTCACACAGACACGGGCTGAAGCTGACAGGTGCGCTGCTCGCGCTCAAAGCGGAGAAATATCAGCTGTTATATAAGCATCTAGCTGCAGCTAGCATGGCTGCAGCTAGCATGGCTGCAGCTAGCCGCGACCTTTGCTCCACATTCAGACATGACCTGAAGATGAGGCTCAGCTTCATCCTCTGTTCATTCCGTGAGCGGGTCACAGGTGAGCAGACAGGTGGGCTAGCATGTTATAGCTCATATTCACACTGAAGATGGAGGTTCTGCTCTTAAATGATGAAGAAGCCACAACAATACTCTTCATCACTGAGCTGAGCCTGTTTGGGTGAAGCTGTAGTGAAAGTGTGAGTCAGGTTAGTCATGATTGGCTCTGTAAACACTGTGTGTGCTTCTGT